CCTTGGTCTTGATGAGTGGAAGCAACTTGTTGATTAGGGTCTTGTGGATTATACACAGAAGGATTATCAGTAGAGCTCATGTTATCATGAGAGTTGCTTTGGTTTCCGATTACTTGAGTCAAGGCCGAGACCATGACACGCATGTCGTGTTGAGATCGGGAAGAGAAGACCGGGAATAAGTTCTCGTCTTCGTCTTTCTCCTCAGATTCATCGCCTCCAAAGGGCCTCTTCCCATACATTCGAGGATCCACTTTTGCTAGGTTTATATTTGAAAAGACAAAAAAAATTTGGAGAAAGATCAAATCCGATATGTAGATAGAGGATTTAGTTTAGGGTTTTCTGTTTTTCTTGATGGCAACTTTGGACATCAAGAACAAGAAGACGATAAGGAGAAGAAATTGGGTTGAAGTAAATGAAGAAAGAGAGAGTAAAGGCTTTTTGGGATTTGCAATTTTTTGAGGCTCTTATAGAGAAAGTCGTTCTCGTGTGAACATATGACCATCAAAGATATACGTGAAGGGTTTTTTTTTTTTTTCATATTCTTTTTGCTTTAATAAATTGATTTTCATGTTTTCATTACTGTCTTTTACAAGTAATATAAAATCATGTTTGTACGATCAGTACGGATCGATATTTCGGAGGTTTATAACGAGGACATGTATAACATATGAGAATGTTTGTACTAATTTTCTTAACGAGGAAAGTGCATGTGTATTTAAATATCAGACAAGGGGACATTTTTATAAAAGATTAGTATAAAAGGTACTACACGATTTGGAAAAACCAAAACATCTAATATAATATTTTAAGATTTTTTCAAAACCAAATTTATGAAAGATTGACATGTGTCATCTAATTTTTGGAACAATTACAAAAATGTCAATTTTGTGTGCACATTTGCAATAATACCACTTAGGGGTGTCCATTTACAAAAATGCCAATAATTATAGATTTATAAAACCTATATCTTAATATTCTAAACCCTAAAAAATGTTTTGACACCTAAAACCCCCTAAACACTCAAAACTAAATCCTAATAGAACATAATTAACCCAAACATAAATAATATAAAGAAAAAATAATTTTGAAAAAGTGGTATTTTTGTAAAGATTTCAAAAGTGTGGCATTTTTGTAAAATGGCACTTGAAAAGTGGCATTTTGAAATTTTTCCTAATTTTTTGACTTTTAGCTTTTTAATTTATTTATTAAAAAATGAAATTAAAATATCTTTTAATAACTTTATCAATTAGTTCTAACAATTTAATAGGTAATTTTATGTAAATTAATTCTAACAAATTACATTTAAGTGTTTATGCAC